ACCATTAACCATGCACTTTCGTGCGCCGGTTTTTAGTCTTTTGGTCGCTCCTTTGGATAACAGACGGAGATTGAAATGTTGAAAACCAACTCAAATGAAAGATAGAGAATTCATACAGACTGGTGTTAAGAGCATAACGAGATGAATGAGCGCCACCGTTGGAGACACCCAGCCACTTCACTCAGTGTCTCTAACTATCGATGACCATCATCTAGGGGTCCCCATCCAGGGCTTTCATACGCTCATGCCAGGTCTGTGTGACCACCCTTGACTTTTTTCCATCCGCTCCCTGCCTCGAAGGACATCGCTCACCGTGGGAACCTATCTGGTGACATGCGTAAACACCCATAGCAAATTTGATCGGGCCTGGCGGGGTTGCCCAATTTAAAATGTTAAGATTACCTAAAGCTGTAAAAGTTCATCGTCCTTCACATTCACTGCTCCATTTTGTCCCGTACGCCACCACATGAGAATATTGCATAACTATTCTAGTCTACTCTGCAAACTCATACAGATGGTAGCCAGACCCCCGATACATTGTTGAAAACAAAGTGCAACCAGCTATTCGAATCACCCTTATTGGCGCGTACAAGTTCCTTTCCCATCAAGCTTTAGCTGAAACTCACAATCTTTAAGCCTCGATCCGTAGTCCTTCGGCCAAAACCCGAAATGTCTTAGCCTCACATATTTCACATTACTATCATCAGTTTATTAGCGCTGCAACATTTGACATAATTACGACGACCAGGGCTCAAGAATTACGGGTTTCGTCTAAAGCTTGATGGTAAAAGGTGTAACAATGGGGGCCTTTTGTGAACGGTGTTTATCATCCTCGACATGTTAATGTAACCACATCTCAAGAACAGAATTCACTTTAAGTTGAGATGCGGAGCGGCAAGTATTTACTTTTTCGTGGTATCACTTGATTTACTTTAAGGCTTGTGAATGCAAGGCAATCTGCCTTTAGTTACATTTGAGATTTTTACTCACAGGAGTACTGCAAATTATACGGAAACACTGAAGCTGTAAGAGATGTGTCCAATGATTTGACGATACAGGCGCATCGTTTAAACCTTCTCTAATCAACATATGGTGCAGTATATGACCACCACACCTCATTCCTAACCAAGCTTTACAAGATCAACATTTGTAGAAGATAAACTTTTTTCACATTCGGTGACCTCAGAAAATCCCGATATTTTTTTAGTTGACCACCTACAGCGGTGCGACTAAATTTTGTGCGTCGAGGCTAAGGCATTTTGGGTTTTGGCTGAAGGATTACGGGGCGGGGGTAAAAGACTGTTGGTTTCGGCTAAAGCATGATGGGAAAAGGTGTAGAAGATAAACATCTCACTGCTGAGCAGTTGCCGGGATCAAGCACACAGCAGCAGCAGTATTCATCATTTTTCGCGTTCGTTGAATCAAAATACTACAACGGTGGTTGCAGAATTTCGTTGGTAACTTGACGTAACTCAACGGGAAGATCCCATAAAGACCGAGTAAAACATGTAAATGCATACACGAGAATTTCTCGGAGAAAGAGAGCTCGTAACCGAGAAAACCGATGCGTTTGACCGAACCACCGCGAAGGTGTACCAACCAGAACTGGGAATGGTAGAAAGGTTGGAGGACGCACGTCCATCTCAATTGGCGCTGTCTAAAGCTGCGATATTCGAGCCAAATATAATCAGGTTTTGGGACAGTGAAAATTACATTTGGCGCCGATTTGCTAATTGGTTCAGGTAGCTAATTACCTTATCCCGTTTTCACTAGAGAAATAATAGGCTGACCTAAATATTACAATTTGCGAATAAGGCAACGCCGTGTCAGATACGGCATATCCACAAACTGGAGCAACAGCAACCTGGAGGGGGGATTGCAGGAAGAGGGAAAATGAAAAAAATTATCAGGGAGGGAGGTAACCAAACAATAAATGTAGATGATATTTGAATTAGAGTGAGATAGTACTCTGTAAGGAGCCACGAGACATGCAAAACAATGGGAACTCGAATGTAGACGAATGTTAGCGGTCATACTGCCCGGTAAAACAGCCAATGAAAAGGAGCAGAGAATGAGGGGGTATTTACGTACAAGGAGGGGGGGGAACACAAGGCAGGTAAAACCGTGCATACATGAACACGTTAAAAGACGAACCTGAATATTCCAGTGCTTGAGGATGGGACGGGAGAACGGAAACAAAACCGACATACACATCGAAATGGAATGAAGATAGAGGGTGTAGGAGTTCAAATCGCCCCTACAATAATACGTTCCGTGGAACTAGGTGTTACTACTGCTGAGGCCCCGGAGGCCGGCACTGGAACTGGGGTGGCATCTTTGATTAAAGCGGTCGCGGTTAGTTTGGGAGCGGGTCCTGTAGTTGGTTGAATCTCGATTCGAGTGACCGACTGCAAAGTTGAGGCTGGAACAGTGACACCGTTTGGCTGTACCTGTTCTAACATACACATTCGTCGATGGAGTGTGAATCTGAAATAAAAAAATGGCAGAACCATGAGAACGGATAAATTTTCACAAAAGACCGTGATTAAATAATGTAGCTGATAGGAATCAAATATGGNTTTAAAAGAAAAGACCAATTTGCAATGCTGCACGATGTCTGTATGGCAGCTCTGGCGCTTAATGTGTATTGGTCGTCGGTCGTGTAGCTCAGGGTAGAACTGACCACGAACCAGAGAGTTAGCGTTTCGAAACCCGCCCGGGATAAAGAAAAATACTACGCACTGCTGATGAATCCCAATAGGAACGAAACAACCGGTCAGTGCTTGTTGCCAGGGTTCGCACTAATTTGTGTATATAGGACAGTTAATGGAAATGCTTATTATTAATATAGTTTTAATGTTTGAAAAAAGAGAACTTCTTCAATGGTTTAAGGATGTGCAATTCCTATGAAAAGCAATGTATCGACTATCTTTGATATTTTCGTCTTTTATTTCGTTTCTTGCTAGTTTCGTCGACAATATTTTCCGGAAGTAAAAAGTGGTCAGTCCCAGGACTGCCTGCGATACCTGCACATGGAGGAAGTCTGGCGGGGGTAGAAAACACGACCTCCAAAGCGCTAAGCTAGTAACCTTAACTGCTTGACTACCGTGGCTCAAGTGCTTGGTGTCTCTTGAAAATAATAATAAATGAATGATGAGAACCCAAGATTAGCAGACAACCTTATTTTCAGTATATCTTCATCATACCATTACAACACA